AGACCTTTATCTCAGCTGTGGGCTGCATGCCCATGGGCATGAGAGGTGGGAGTATATGTTATACTGGACCTCCGCTCATCATCCTGATCTAGTTCGCTCTAATAGCGGCAAATCCGTGCAACAAGTGATTTATTGTTATGTCCAACATCAGAGTGTGGGAAAAGGTTGTATTTTACGTCCTTTGTGCTGTCACAGGCTGCTTGTTTTTACCATGTTTAATACCCTGCTTTATATGGCTAGTATCTCATGTTATTGAGGGGATGCAAATAGCAGCTATGCCGGTAAACCCTGAAATGGCTGCATCAGCTGGTGCCCACAAAGATAGGATATTCAGAAAAGAATGAGACAAGTGTTAGTAAGCTCAGGCAAAATATGGTATTAAAAAGAAAAGGGGTGGTTTGGGAGAAGTAACAGAAGAATTTTGCTTTCGCTAAAAGTGATTAAACAATTCCTTTTATTGAGTTACTCTTATTAAAGCAGTATTGTTAAAATTATAACAGTTAAGCAAGCCTTTTGTGATCACAAGTTAGGCATGGTGGGCATTGTGGGGAGTTGGGCAAGCAAGAGGATGGGGGGGTGGGGTCTGTGGTTAGGTGTCATGTAAAGGGGAATCTGGATGGGGGGGCTGGGGAGGAATGGCAGCCAGCAGAAAAGGGTTAAGCAAAGAACTCCTGATGGAGAGGGACCCGGACTTCACCCCACACACACACACTAACCACCCGAGAGGGCAGTGGAAAAGTACTGAGAGAGACAGCCTCGGAGAAACCAAGAAAAAGGAGCTGGGCAGGTGTCAAGAGGAGAAAACCCGCCGTTTTCGCTCAACCAGTGAAATCTCCTGGAGGCTCTACAGAAAGAAGCCCCAGCTGGGGCAGACTGCGCCACTGCGCCCAGCGCTGTGTTCTTTGCTCCACTGACTTTGTCCCCAGTAAAACTTTTTTTTTTTTTTTTTTAATATACATGAGCTTGTTTCTGACATGGCTGAAGCAAAATGCTTTATATTACATTCTTCACAGTAGTTCCCGTGCAATTCTGCCACTGCTGCCACAACGCGTGTGGTGGCACGCCCCAGCCAGGGGAAGGCTCTTCCCCCGGACAAGGCTCTCTCTGACCTGCCGGCGGGATTTTTAGCATTAGAAGGAGGCGAGTTCCGCGAAGGAGCCGCGGAGCTTGAGTTTGCTGGCCAAGTTGGCAACGTAGCCCCTTCGAGGTGGGCAGGGTGCCTGTGCTCCAAGCAGGCCATCTCCTCGCTCTGCCGGTGAGGGATGCCTTTGCCTTTCCCAGACCAGAGAACGTCTTTCTCGCCCCGGAATCTTTCTCCGGGGGTCTCCAAGCTGACCCTTCCCCCCCGGGGCAGGGCCATGAGGTGAGCGTCCCCCGCCTGCCAGGGCCCCGCCGCGGGGGCAGCAATGGGCTGGCACAGGCGCCCCCCGCCCTCCCGAGGGGCCGGGTGGGGCAGGGGCGGTGCCCCAGGGCCCGGTGACGCGCGGAGGCCGGGCTCTGACGTCACAGAGCCCTGCCGGGCCCCGCCCGGCGCTGGAGGGCTGTGCCGCGGGCACCGCTTCAGCAGTGCCGGCAGCGGCAGCGGCGCGGGGCAGGCGCAGGGGGCCATGGCCCCCACCCGCCTCCTCCTCCTCGTCCTGGTGGCCCTGCAAGCCCGGCGTGTCAGCGGTGCGCGGTGGCGAGCGCGGGGATTAGGCGTGCGGGCAGGTGAGGGCCAGCACCCAGCCCTGGCAGCGCGGCCCGGCACCCACTGCCCCTCGGGGTGACAGCGGGGCCGGGCCGGGCCGGGGGAGCCGTGCCCAGCTCCACGGGCAGTGGGAGGCAGATGTCCTGTGGGGAGGCGCAGGGGGCTGCGGCCGCTGGGGGCGTTTTCCAGGGGAACGAACGGTGGGGCCGGGGGCGGCGGGGAGCAACCGTCCCTCGAGCCAGCCCTGTGCCGCCCTGCCCCGGGGCAGCCTTCCCCCGGGCTGTGTGCCAGGGCCGGAGCAGCACTGCAGGAGCCAGGCAAGAGCCCGCGGGAGCACTTCTTCCCCGGGCTGCTCGCTGCCAGATGGGCCCAGGTTGGTGGCTCTGCCGCTCCCCGGCATCCCGGCTTTCAGCCTCGGGGCCGGCCGGCCTTGAGCGAGATCTGGCCGCTCAGGAAAGAAAAGAGGAGCGTTCCTGCCCCAGCCCTGCAGTGCTCCCTCTCCTTGGGCGAACCCGGGTCCCCGTGGGACACACGTCCCCAGCCCACAGCCCGGGGAGCAGATGGCGACCGGACAGGGCAGCGCTGCTGCAGCAGCCTCTGCCTGGCCAGGGCTCTCTTCTCCACGAGACGTGTGAATGAGTGATCGCTGTTTTCCTCCGCTGCTTTCACGTGGGCTGCTTTTGTGCACAGAAGAGACCTCCCCGTGAGAAAAATCCCCGAGGGGCCCTACGTAGCTTTGTCCATCCGCTGGGCCTTGAGGGGTGTTGTTGCACGTGGCCTGGAAAGAACAGTCTGTTGAAAGCCTCCAGGTGCAGCAAACAGGTCACCCAGGCCCCTCTGCAGCTTCGGCAATAAACCTCCGCCCACGTCTGGCTCCCCTGTCGTTACCTGAGCCCCTTCCAGTCAGTGCAGGTCACCCAGAAAGAAGCAGATCCCCACATCTAATGGGAACATGCTTGATTACAGCTGTGCCCGTAGCCAGTGGCCACCCAGATTCTCCGCCGGATCTTCTCTGGGAGCCTCAGGGCGATCCCACAGGTACGTCACTGGAATGAGGGAGCAGCTAGGTTTTCATTTTCTGTGCCCAGGACAACACTGAACTGAACAGTTTCTTGGCCGACGCTCCGCCGTGCGGAAGAGCAGGGGGTGAATGTGTTGGGCTCGCTGATGTGCCCCAGGGCACTCTGCCTTGGGAAGCTGTCTGGGCCAGCCTCTCCAACCCTGCGCTGCTTCCAGCGCCTGCTGCAAAGCCAGCGGGCTTGCTGGGCTGAGTTTCTTGGAGCTGGTGTGAGCGGCAGGGAGTCCTTTCTCCGGAGCGATACCTCCGTGCACGCTTTCCTTCTGGATCAGCGTGGCCCAGGCCCCTACCTGTCTGCACAGTGCTCCTGAGGGGAGGGGGGGGACGAGTGCCATGGAGCAATCCCCTGTTTGAACTGCCTTCACGCCCCTGTATTGTTTTGTATAGTGAAATACAGTTCATGGGAGCCTCTCGGTTCTCTTTGTTTACAGACGTGGCTGGAGGCGATGGCTACCCAGCTTCCCAGCCGGCTTCCAGGGCTGACGCTCAGGGAGATCGCGTGGGTACGTCCCGGCTTCTTGCTTCCCTTGGGAGCTGCCAGCTCAAAGGCCAAATGTGGCGAGGCATCTCTTGCGGGTGTGAGAATGCAGACGACCTGCACTGTGTGTGCCAGGTCGTTACGTGATGCCCTTCTATGTTCTGCTATTCAGCTGTGTCAGTGTATTGTATCCCAGCGCGTGACGGAAACTTCTCGTGGGTGTTTGGTTGCAGATGTGGGTGCAGGGAGGGCTCTTCCCGCTTCTCGGCTGGATCTTGCGCTGGAGCTCACCTGGCATCGCAGGGGTGAGTGGTCAGTCTCGACTGACCACAGACTAAGCACTCATTCCCAGTAGTCTATTTGCCAGAAATTTAACTTTGTGCTTTCCGTTCAGGTCCTCCGAGAGCCAAGTACAGAGCGGAAATGGAAAAATCTTCCCCGCGGTCATCAGAAGTCCTAGAGGGAGTCCTGAAGGAACTGGACAAAGCAGCACATGGTGGGTAGAGATGATTGCTCTTCACCAGAAGCCGTGGGAAGCGGAGGTGTTGGGGGCGTGGATGGACAAGCCGTAGCCTGCACAGCAGGAGGAGGGGGTCGCTCAGAGCCTCACTGCGGCCACACTCAGTTTCACGCCTTGCAGGCGCTGGCGAGCTGCAGAGATGCCCGACTCTCTGCTGCCAGTCGCGGTTCAAACCGAGTGCCAGGACCAGCTGCTGCCCCGGTTAGAGCCTTACCGGGGTCAGAGCTGTTCTGGGCAGACCTTGGTACCCAGCTGGCAGGAACTGGTGCTCCTCACGCCTGGAATGTGTGACAGACTTGCCAAGGAGCTGGTTCCTGACAAGTCATGAGAGGGCCAGCACCCCCGGTCACCCACCCGAGGGGAGAGTGCCCTTGGGCTGCGGAGAGGATGCGCAGGCAGCTTGGGGTAGCTGAGAGCAGCGGACACTGCCAGGGCTGCAGGCGTGCCCTGGCCAGGGTCGGAGAAGCCCCACCTTCACAACCCGGTCCAGCCTCGTCGTTCTTGATGCCTGAGGACGGTCGGTGACACCTCGTGCCAGGGAAAGGTACAAGCTGGACACCCAGCTTGAGGCCAGACGCCAAACTTGAAGGCAGCTCAAATGAAGGGCTGTGAATTCAGTCTCGGTTGGTTTAGCTGCGCCTGCGTCTAGTCGTGCTTTGGATCGGTCGGTTGTGGTTGTCCTCTTGTTTCGGGGCACTGCGGGCTCGTCAGTGCCACTTGTGAAAATGCCCAGAGTATGGTTGCAAGAGCTGGCGCTTCAGTCCACCATGCGTGTCTGTTACCCTGACCGTGGGATGGAGTTGACACGATGGGAAGTGCTTCTCAGAAGGGCTCTTTCCCCAGCTGAACTGGCTACAGCATCTTCCTGTCCCCTCTGACAGATTCTGTCATTTACCATCATCTTGCCGTTTGCCAAAAATGCACTAAGTGGAATGCGAACAAGCTCACGTGCAACCTCCTAGTCTCCCAGCAGGTCAGGATTTTCTGTCTGCTGGTTAAAGTGGAAAGGGTCTAGTGCTTAAATTGTCCTCCATGAATGACATGTCATTGGGACTAGGCACTAGGTACACCCCCAAATGTCCCGGCTTTGTTTCTAAGCGTCATGAAGGGATGTTGAGAAGTATGGCCTCCTGGAGATACTGTGTTCCTGATGAGGAACGGTTACTTCTAATTCAATTGTCCTTCTTTCTTTCTAAAGAGACGGACCAAGAGACTGTGGAGAACGAGGCGTTTCGGGAGGACGCAGTCAGGCAGTGAGAGTGTCTGATGCAAAAACGGGGGCAATTCAGTCAACAGGCCTCCCAGGTAATTGCCGTCCTTTGATCCTCCAGCACCACGCATCAAAATCACTCCGTGTCTTCAGGCTCTTCCCCCAGTGCCCTCTACCGCGCGTCCTGTCGGCAGCACAACCCAAAAGAGTTGGTGGTACAGAGCGAGTGCTTCAAAAGCAGCAGCCAGGACCGGCTCTCTGAGGATGCCGGTCACCTCTGGGCTGTGGAGGCTTGCTGTCAGCGCGCCGGGGAGATGCTCCCTCGTAACCCTCCGTGGATGCAGAGAGATGCTCACCTCCCACCACACCCCGTGACAGGACTTTCAGAACTTAGTCATTTGGGGAACAAGACCATCTGAGCCACGCTCAGCAGATGATGGGAAATGCGACTCTTAATGGAACGTACCCCCCTGCAATAGCTGCAGGCCAGAGCTTGCCCTGGGTCCCTAGAGGCCCCAGGCACGGCAGCGGGGGATCCCTCCTGTGACCTGAGGTCCAAAGGGATGCACTGACATGTCGGGCACAGGCTTTGGGGAAACCTCCACCATCCTCCTGCAACCTCTGCGCCTGAGCCATTTCCCTTTCTCTGAGGTTTTGCCTTTCTCTGAGGCTTTCCCTTTCTCTGGTTTCTATGCAGTTCTGTCCAAGCCCGGGAACGCCCACCGCGCCAGGATATATGGATTTTTTCGAAGCAGTCCAGGTACTGAGCCATCTGGCAGGGGGCCATAAGTGGGAGACGCGTCCCCAATTCTCTGAGGCTTTCCCTTTCTCTGGTTTCTATGCAGTTCTGTCCAAGCCCGGGAACGCCCACCGCGCAGGATATATGAAGTTTTTCGAAGCAGTCCAGGTACTGAGCCGTCTGGCAGGGGGCCATAAGTGGGAGACGCGTCCCCAAAAGCGGCGGTGTGCAAGCAGGGCCCATGCTGGAGGGAAGGCGAAGAGAGAGGGCGAGGTTCAGGTGTCTCCCGAGAGGGCCTGACTCTGTCCCCTCAGGGTGTGGGTGCGGAGCTGGGGAGGGAGAGCTGGGGGTGGCACTCCCTGAGGCAGGGATGGCTTTTGTCCATCTCACTCAAAGGGTCGATCGGTCCAACGGGAGCTGTGCTCCCCGACGTGCTCTCCATTTGGCCTCATGAGTTCAGTTCAGTGGGACAAGTTGTCCCAGAGGGCCAGGGAGAGCCTCCATGCAGCAGCACTAGCAGCGAGCCTCGGAGAGTGGAGGTGGGCGAGCGCAGCAGAAATTGTGCGCAAATGCGGAAGGTGACCGAGAAGGGGGAGCAGACCGGGGACACTGCGAAAACTGGGTTACGGCCACCCCAGAGTGCAAGCAAAGCTGAGAGCAGAAAGAGAGGCTCCAGAGCGCGTTGATTTGCAACGGCCTTGGGAGTTTCCTTGGCTTCTACCGAAACCAAGGAAACGGTGCAGCCCCAGGACGTTCACCGGTTCAGGGAGGCCAAGCAAGTGCGAAGGAACATTTCCTGGCAACGTCAGACCTCCTGTGAGATCACCAGTAGCGTGCGGGACACGCTAACGTAGAGCATTGTTCCTCCAGGTGTGGGTGGCAAGACAAATGCAAATGCTGCGGGTCATGGAAACTTCATGGAGTACTGCGTGGAGGGTGCCTGGCAGTCCTGGGCTCCATGCTGCTTGGGATGGTGTTTTGTTGTGTGTTCCACCTGTGGAGGAAGCGAAAACAGTGAGTGTTGCCAAACTTGTGTGTCAGATGGCTGCTATTAGCCACGAAGCATCTAGAGGCCAGGTATTCTGGCGTGCCGAGATAGTTACCGGCCAAACGCTCCGACAGACAAGGCTGTCCCCTTGTCTGGGCAGGGACGGGCACGGGAGCCGAGTGCTGGTCTCTGGCAGGCACGCCGAGAAAGGAGAACAGGAGGCTCTCCTGGCCCTGCAGTGCCGTGCCCAGCTCTGGGCCCCTCGCTCTGCCGGGGTCAAGTGCCCTTGGCGGCACGTGCAGAGCAGGCAGGTCAGGCTGCTCAGGGCCGAGAGGAGATGAGCCGTGGGGAGGCGAGCAGAGCCCCAGCCGAGGGGCGCAGGGCACCCCTGTTTTCTGCACAGAGCTCTCTGTGCCCACAGCTCCCACGTGCAGCCGGGTGCCCACGACCCGTGGGGTGCCCACGCTGCCCCGCACCCTGGCACCCACCCGGCACCGCAGCCGCCGCGGGGCCTCAGCAGTCTCCTCTCTCCACAGGCGCCCCTCCGCAGCTTCAGGAGCCTAGCCCAACCCCAGCAGCCATCCCTCGCGCCCGGACAGCCGTCCGGACGGCCCACCCCGGCACCCCTGAGAGCTGGACCCGACACCAGCGGCCGTCACCTCTGCCTGGAGAACTGGCCGGCCTGGCACAGCGCTCCAGGGGACCGGCCCTCGCCAGCCCGGACAGATGCCTGGCCCGCCCACCTCCACCCCGGCCTCCACCGTCCACCGGCCGAGCTGTTGTGGGACCAGCCCAGCACCCTCCAGCCCCCGGAAGAATTGAAACCACCCCCCGTCCCCCGAGCCCATTGCCCCAGCCCTCCTGACAGACTCCTGACCCACAGCGCCAGGGATCGACCGTTTATTTCAGAATAGTGGTAGTAGCAATAAATAGAGGTCAGTAGCACACTTGTCTGGGTCGTAACGGCAGCAAGCTCAGGAACTCACGGGTTCTGGGTCGAACTTTGTATCGGGGCACGAGGGTCAGCGAGGGAGGTCCCCGTGGAGTAGATCTCCATTTACCCTTTGTCCTGGGTTGAGTGAGTGGTGGAGTTTTTTGGTGGCAGGGGAGGGGGCTATCGGGGAGGCCCCCTGTGAGAAGCTTCTCGAAGCTCCCCCAGCTCCACGTCAGCTCTGTTTGGGAAATTGAGCCAATCAGCTGCACCTCTGCGATAACGTATTTAAGAAGGGACGTGGTGACGGGCAGTTGGACTTGTGAGGAGGAGTTGCTGCAGCTGCATGAACACCAAGGTCAGTGGAGGAACGGAGGAAGAAAGGAGGGGGGAGGTGTGCCGGAGCAGAGACCCCCCTGTATCCTGTGGTGAGACGGCAGGGCGGCCCCCCCTGCCACCCATGAAGATCTACGGTGGAGCAGACATTGATTTATGGCCTGTTGCTCCTGCTCAGCTAGATCAAGGTTCTGTGCCCGAAGAAGGCCGGGGTCTCATGGAAAAGGTAGCCCCGCTGCTGTAATTCAGTGCTGGGAGGATTGCAGCATGCGGGGGAGTCCCACGCCGGAGCAGCTCGGGAAGGGCTGCAGCCGTGGGAGGGAATCCAGTCGGAGGAAGTTAGTGACCCATGACGGAGCAGTGTGGGGAACGCTGCGGCCCATGGGAGGAATTCAAGTCAGAGAAAGTTTGTGGAGGACTGTCTCCTGTGAGAGGGGGACCACGATGGAGCAGGAGGAACAAGTTTCGGACACTCCCCTCACCGAAGATAAGGGAAGTGGCAGCGCTGCTGCACCCCCCATTCCCTGCCCCTGCGCCACTGGGGGAGGAGGTAGAGATATCGGGAGCAGAGCTGAGCCCGGGAAGAAGGGAGGGGTGGGGGGAAGGTGTTCTCAAGATGTGGCAATGCTTCTCACTGTCCTACTCTGTTATGTGTTGTGAGTGTCTATAATAAATGTATGTTCTTTTTTTCTTCCCCTAACGAGTCTGCCTTTTGCTCATGATCATAAAAGGGGGATTTTCCCCATCCCAGTCCTATCTTGAACCCCAAGCCTGGCTCTCTGTCCCTTCTCATTGCCGGAGGGGAAGGGAGAGAGAGCTGCTGCATTGTGGTTGGCTGCCAACCAGGCCTAAACCACAACAATGGTATCGTATCAAGCGGATAGAGCGAACATATTGGGCTCTTCCAAAAGGGTCGTGATCTTCACTCATAAGTCAAAGGACCGATTGAAACAAAAAAAAAAGGCCCAGACAATAGGCCTCAAACCAAAGTCATTGAGAATTGTAACAAGGTAAAGTTTGAACTTACTTAATTTCAAGAGAGTTGGATTGTTTCATTCTTTCCATATCACATTTTACCAATTGTGTTTTGAGATGATCAATTTCTTCTTTGTACAACTCAGCACCTTTATCTAATTTTGCCTGAAAATAAAAGATTTAGTGTGAAGAAAGGCTTGTTACTTAGCAGTGAATCTAAAGGTTGCTTACTTTGTATCTTTACTAATACCTGCTAGATTTTGCAGGTACAGGACTGGGAGCAGGAAGTTATTCTGGAGTAAGAACACCCATGTTATCAACTAGCGCCACAGTATTAGTTGGTATCCTAATTCTGGTGTATTACATGCAATCATATTTTAGCAACTTTTGCTGACTTGTTTGCATATATAAGTCTGGGCATTTTGAACCAGTATGGTAATATATTACATAGAAAAAACAGCTCATGCTTCAGTTTCCAAGTTCCAGATTTTCTTACAAGGTTTCAGAAATGCATCATGTACAACTGAAAAATTTAGCTTCTAATATAACAAGGGTTCTAAATTTTGTCTCTGAAGGCTGCATTGGTAGAATTTGAAACCACAGGCCAAACAGGCAAGTAGAGTGTTTTAATTAAGAATGCCATACAGAACAATAAAGAGATGCTAGAGAGCTATGTTTCATCTACAACGTTCTCAAGCATGCTCACTCGCTCCCTCTGAGATGAGAGGAGAATGAGAAGAGTGTTTTGCTCATACCTGAAGACTCTGATTCTCTGTTCAGGTGGTTTTGAGGCACTTCTGTCTCATTCACTCTGGCTTGCAGTTGGGTGAGCTCACTTGTTGCTGGTTTTATTCTTATCTGTGCTTCTAATTTGTTTATCCTGTCATCTTTGACATTTTTTCCCCACTTCATTTATGACACTTTCCAACTTCTGAATTTTTATTTCCATAGCCTATTCAAAACCACTGCATCTCCTAGCATATTGCAAGATTAAAAAAGACAACCCAAAACCCCACACCACATGTGTCTAACAGAGTAAAAAGAAAACCCTAACTCCCCACCTCAGCCCCCCCCACTAACGTTTTCTTAAATTACAAAGGTGGATTAAGGTAACCATTTGTTTTCTGAAGACTTAGCTGATGAGCAGTAACTAACTGCTGACATTTAGGAGAACAGAAATCCCACCGAATGCCAAGAACTTACACACAGCTTTGTAGAAGACTTAAAAGCTTCTCCATGTCCCCTGCCAAACTCATTTTCAGCACCTTCCTATAAACTATAAATTCCTAAAAAGATTAGGCACTTTTTACGCATGTTCCCTTCTCAGAAATTTGCTATGTTTGCAGTAGCAAGACTGAGTCATTTGTAGAAAACTGAATTCTCACAACAGCCTACCTTAAAAAGGTGATGCAGGATTTTTAACTCAGGTTTGAGAATATTACCTGATATTTCCTTCTTGTTTCATACAAGACCTAAAAAACTTACTTTCAACATAGGAAATACAACAAAAATAAAACATACTCTAGAATTACCTTCATGGTTTAGAAATCAGCTTTATGTATAACCACACACATAGGTTTGTCGGTTAAAAATCAAAGATAATACAGTGCTTTACATCTAAGAACAAGCTGTGGAATGACAAATTCTACCTGACTTCACTCAGTTTTACTCAGGAAAATTCAGAATTATTAAGTACTACAAAAACATACATGAAGATTTGCAAGACTTCCTTAAAATGCAGTTCTTAGGTGACTTCTGACTCAAGATTATCTCCCTTCTAAATCAGTTGAATCTGTTTAAAAAATAAGCTTGTAGGGAAGATTCTTTTCCTTCAACACTGAAGGAGGCTTTCTAGTAATGACATACTCATGTTGTTAGTGTTTTAACACTTGGTCATTTCACTAGAA